TCCCACTGAGTTCGGTGTCTTATGTGAGTAGAGTTGTTTGTTGGTTCTCTCCTGTGTAGTATGTGAGTAGAGTCGTTCGTTGGTTCTCTCCTGTGTAGTATGTGAGTAGAGTTGTTTGTTGGTTCTCTCCTGTGTAGTATGTGAGTAGAGTTGTTTGTTGGTTCTCTCCTGTGCTTTGAGGGTTTTCCGGGTTCTCCGGCTTTCCTCCCTCTGCAAAAATCAAATGAATAGCTACTCTGTAGAAATGCCACTGTTAAATCCCATTTATTTCATTATTTATTTATTTTGAAATCACTGGTGATTTCTGCAATCTGATTGGCCCTCAGCAGTGCGAATTGAAGTTTTAACATCATTTTTTTCAAGGGTTCTTCTGGTGCTGCAAGTTACTACAACAGGTGGTCAAGCTTTCAAAGAGACGTAGCCCACCAAGTCCTTGACAACCAAGAATTACAGCTACAAGATGCCAAACTAGTCCTTGATCTTGGATGTGGAACAGGCAACATGACGGCAGCCCTACTCGAACACTTGTCACAGGACTGCAAAATTATAGCAGTTGACCCAGATGTTGAAAGAATTAAGGTGGCACAACAACTTCATGGTTGCCATAGTAACATAACATTCCAGACAGGTTCAAGTGATAGCTTTCCACACATGCTTAAAGAGTGTTATGATATAGCTGTGAATAACTTTGTTATTCAACTGATTAAGGAAAGACAAGTTGCAATGGATAATATATCRAAAAGTCTGAAGCCAGGTGGGAGATTACTCATGACATATCCGTGCTTAGAGACATATCTAGCACCAAATAACTCATTCTACAAATGGCTGTCAGAAGTAGCTCCACCTGAACAATTAAAAACTTGGAACAATATGCTACAAATCTCTAAACTCGTACCACAATTATTAGAAGACTTGTGTACAAATGCAGGTTTAACAATATTGTCTAGCGTTAAGGGACAAAAATGGACAACTTTTGATAATTTTGAGACACTCAGTGAATATCTGTACGGGGTATCTCATGGAGTGGTRGATATCAGAGGATCTGAATTTGACCAAATAATAAAAAACACTACTCCACCACTAAATTCTGATGGGAAAATAGAAAGAGAAATGATTTATGGGATCATTGTTGCCAGAAAATAAACCAAGAAACAAAGGYTGTCAAAGVATATTTTGAAACTAGTTGTAAAATTCWTGAATAATTATTGTATAGAACGGTCTGAACCCAGGTGAATGAATGTTAATCGAAGTAATATGATCATCHGGGTGGATGTAGTCCTGAGAAGGACTGTTTGATGTGACTGACGTTTCGACAACCTGAGCTGAAGTCATCTTCAGAGTCAAGTGAAGAATAAAAGTCAGATTGGTCATATTTATACTGCCACGATAACAATAGCCTAATTACATGAAGAAGCGTAATTGGCAGCATCAGTCTAATGAGTGTGAGTCACTGTTTCGGTGTTGTGGGCGGTTTTATCGTTTCTAACAAGCTCAGGTTGTCGAAACGTCAGTCACATCAAACATGGTCCTGGTCCTGGTCCTGGTCCTGGTCCTGGTCCTGGTCCTGGTCCTGGTCCTGGTCCTGGCCCTGGCAATTGTTATTATTACTAACACTATGATCGCCCACTGTGATTAAAGAACTGAAAGATACAGTTAAAAATAGGAAATTTAATCAGAAATGATACATATGTAATTGTAATACATAAACATTTTACTTGTGAAAGGTGTTTTGTTACTTTGAAAACACTGGGCTTCCTTTGTTTGCATTGGCAGGGCCATAGCCACCAGTACAGTTGGTCCGGTTTCAACCGAACCAACTTTCGTGAAAAAAATATAAGAAAAATAATAAAAAAATATAAGAAAAACTGAAAACCCTCGAAAACCGGACCAATCAGAAATTTGTGGCTACGGCCCTGATTGGGCTACCTGTGCTTTAAAGTATCAGGGTACCCAAAAATGGTTCAAAAATATTTTACATTTTACATTAATTTTACCGATAAAATTACATAATCTCCGATTTTCCAAAAAATATTCAGTTGCAATTTTTAATATCAAACAACTGTTTTTAGCTTTAATCTTCTTTAGTTACCTGTAATGACATCACTTGTCAACGACCTCTTCATGTCACTATTAAGTCACGTTGCTATGACAATATGCTGCTACACTAGCTACCATACGAAATCGAGGATAACCCTGTAATTTGTTAAGGAACAATATAGCAGATATGAATACATGCAAATGAGACAAGCATTGCATCGACCCAATAGCCTCACTTGTATGATTCTTAAAACAAAAGAATATCTCATTACTGGCTCAACTGTAATATCAGCTATTCAAAACTGGAGTATTTGGGATGATGGCATTAGGGTAATTATCTTACTTCTCACCTCTGAGATCCGGGGTTCCTGTCCCATGCAGTTTTCCCAATATGTGAACCGAGTTGGTTCGTTCCCTTTCAGACAATCCAACGGTTTTTCCAGTCCTCCATTTTTTTCTCCTCACACAAACCTATCGTAAATCTATTCCAAGTAGTTAGGGCTCACAGTGCTCTGCTTTTGGTTTTACCCTGTTGGGCTGTTCCACTGTCATATTCGAGATGGTAAATTGAGATGAGTTTTCCCCCTTGAGCATTATTTCTTTGTTATCAGTAAATAGGCTTCTGAAGACTTTACCAGAAAAAGTGTATTATTCCTCAAGGGAATGAATTACTGGTACACACGTTTGAAATGATAAAACATCACAAAGCTAAAATTAAATCTATCCTTACAGTCAAACGTTAATATAAAACCATGAACACCTAAAACATGTATGGATGTTAAACATTGTGTTCTGACCAATCATATGCGACAATTAGAAACATAGGAACATAGACATATATTGAAATATAAATGTTCATAATACAGTGTGTATCAAAACTACTAAACACATCAAGGCTTAAAATAACGGCCGGACATCAGACAATATCCAACCAGAACTGGGACTTGTCCAGTCAAATCTTTGCCTTTTCGGTCATTTTGACCAATAAGGTTGAGCCAGAATGAGGTATGACTAAGGTAAGACTAATTTGGAATATGATCATGACCTGTAACTGATAGGCCATTATTTTTATCCCTGCCCATGTATCGAATCAATGTGTATCAAATCTGACATGTAACAACCAGTGTACATTGGCCAAAAGACCCCTTGCATTGATTTCCAATAGGAATAGCCCTTTTCCGAGATATGCTTCACTTGTCACGCACAAAGGTTTCAGTATGAGGCTACGTGCTAAATGCTCAGTCATTTGTGACAGGTGGTAAGAATTAATTTAATTTAGCACGTAGCCTCATACTGAAACCTTTGTGCGTGACAAGCGAAGCATATCTCGGAGGTAGGCTATTAAATCATTCTGGGGGACAAAACAATAGGCCATCTTTTCTTATGCAACAAAAATTCATTTTTTTGTACCCCAGCTGAACAGGTAACAAATCCTCTCGGGACTCAGTGCAAAACTTTATACTAAATTGTTCTCCTTGGATTTTTTTAGGACAAACTCCATGCAAGAGAAAATGTGATAACTCACTGTTAACCTTGGTATGCCAGCTCTGAGGTATGATAATGTTTAAGTTTCATTTCAGAGAAGGATCCAGGGGAGGTAGGGAGGGGGTGACTAGTCTTCCCTCCACTCTTCCACAAAAAAGTGTTTGAATTTATTTGTTTAGATAAACTTTTATTCAGTTTCCTTGAAGGCCTCAAATTTAATTTCCGGCAAAAGACCTTTTACTCAAGGTTGGGTGCGCATCCAAATTCAAGGAACTTGACGGGCCACGATACCAAAACACGAGTATTATCATGCATTGCATTGCTATGAAATTTTTTTCGATAAGAATTCATAAAATCAATTATTCTGCTCTTTAAATATAAAAGTGGCTTCTCAATTTCATTGAATTTTCGTTTTTCAAATTTGTGGCCCATCAAGTTGGATGCGTACGCAATCTTGAGAAAACGGTCGATTTGAGACACCATAGGCCTTAACTGAGTTTAATAAACACGATGCATTGAGGGTAAGCTTCCATATAAGGCATAATAAAGCTAGACCACAATGCACCATGTTCCCTATCACAGATAAAGTCTATTTTTTCACCATCTTTCTTTTACCCTGGGTGTAAAAATGTTTCCCATTTCAGACCACGTGTCATTCTTTTGAGAATAAGATTGTTTGTTTGTATCCACATTCATGTGTCTTCTCGTGCATAACCATTAAACAAAGAAATGATACTCAAGGGAATGACATGTGGCCATAAATGGAAAATATTATGACTGAGGTAAAAAGTTGTATATGCCCAAAAGGCATTCAATGCCGCAAATGATAGCTAAGACTACTAGTATTGGTTCCATTGCTCAGAATATTTCAAAAAGCTATTGTGTAATTCCAGAAATCTCCCATACCACCTCCCCACACCCCCCATGGAGGAATTTTTTTAAGGACTCCCCTACCCCTGGCAATATTTGCAATTTCCTTCCATACAAACTCTGTAGTTTTTATTGTTTCTCTGACCCCCCTACCCCTCAGAAATTCCAAATTTTTCTGGGGGGGGGGGGTATGGATAATTTCTGGAGATACACAATAACTCTTGAAAATAGCAATTTAAGACCAGAACTTTGATTTTTCAAMAAATTCTCTTTGTACATCTGTCTTGATACCTCTCTCCCACAAAACATAAATTCCCTCTTTAGTCATGCTATTRCAACCTTCGACCTCCACAGAGCATAGATTAGGACACTTCGTTGCTAGTGTTTTAAGACAAGAGTCTGTCAAATAAATACAACCACTTATTCCTACATGAGTTATATAAGGACAGCRAGATGCTAGAGTAGCCATACACTCATCTGTCATCCCAGTGCAATAATTCAAAGATATAAATTTCAGTTTTGGAGCGTGTTGAGCCAGGATTTTTATACAATCCGMRTTAGTTCTCGAACAGCGRGTTAGATCTACTCTTTCTAAGCAAWKGCAGCTTTGGAAAACCTTTATAAGAGACTGAGGCGACACCCAAAGACATCCACAGAGGATCAGCTCACGAAGTAGAGGACAAAATGTAGCAAGTTTCACAATGATTACGCTTGTAAGCATTCGACAACCGCTCAAATCCAACTTCTGCAAACTAGAATTTCTACTGAATATATTTACTAAGACACAGTCTTCAAGTAGAAACCTTGGATTCCTTAAAATAATGGAATTAAGCGATGAATTTTCAAGTGTAATTTGTTCAAGGATTCCAGAAGTCATTTTGGAAGGTTGAAGAACGTTGTTGATGTCGATCTTTTTCATTGTTTTAAAATGTCCCTCGCACAGATTTTTAAAGTCCTTGCACACTCTACGACACTTAAATATCTCGTCTAAGCTGAGATTGGTGAATATTTTGTCGAATACGATGTCTTGTTGTGGAAGATCAAAGATTGTCTTTTCACGGKACGAAAGCTTCGATTCGTCCGCCATGTTTGTTTTGATTGCTGATGACCACAGGAAGACCAGTTGTATGAATCATGATTCGYGTTTTCTTGTCTCTTCTTCCATCTCTGCTTTAAGGGTACTCCGTTTCTCTCCTCTTCTTTTTGCTAATATGTATTTTATTTTAAGAAAACCAGTTAGCTCAGCTTTTTACTTTCCCATCCAGTTCATAGCTTTGTATTCATCACTCAATACAGGGCTGTCAACCCCCGAGATATTCAAATCTGGAGAATTGATAGGGAAGGGACATGACGTCACGTCAAAAAGCGCGCAAAAAGACATCTTTCGCTTTGTAACATTTGATGTGATTGGTTTATTTCTGACCAATCAGATTATCGCTTTTATTACAATGGCCTGCTTGCAAGAACAGTTTATGAGGAACGTTTTGATTTTGTTAGCGATGTAAAACAACACAAACAACATAAAATAATTGGAATTTTATGACTGTGAAAGTCGAGTCTCACAAGAAATGGTTAGCTTCGGGGATTATCCGGGAGATTTGAGACTCTAATCTGGAGACCGGGAGATACGGTCCAAAATCTGGAGACTCGCGGTTTATCCGGGAGAGTTGACAGCCCTGTCAATACCACAGGACAGACACAAAGACACAAAGTCAACTCCTTGAATGTAATTTCCAACCAAATGCTGTCCTTATGATCAGCGGTTRCGCACAAAAAATAGAAATCACAGCACGCCGAGCGCGCCAAACGTCTCTGCTTTGACGTCATAATCTATACGTAACGTCATCTTCGTAGCGCATATTAAGGTATATCAATTTAACTCTATTTTTTTGCGATCAACTTGTGAAAATTTTTCTTTTTAAGATGGACTACGAAAAATGCAAAAATGCTCTTTTACTCCGACGAAGGACTAGCGTCCGAAACGTCAACAAGTTTTTTCATCTTTTCAAGGTGTATAATTTACCTTTTTGTCATTACTGTTTCATTAGAAACGCCGACGCAGCTCGCACTAGTTTTTAGCTAGTTATCTCTACGAAAAAATGCATGTTTCTGGATATGTATGCGATTTTGAAATAATAAATAAATCTCTTAAGGCATGTGTTCCACCATCAATCAATAACTTAGAAAGACGAGCAAAGCTTAGAWTTTCTTTACTTGAAGATGCCCAACTGGTTGCCATATCAGGTTTATCTCTGTTGAATAACAAGTTGAAAATAAACACTTTTGTTCCAGGAAAAAAGGTTGGGGAGGGGAGGGTCAGTAAAGTTTTATTCAAGGAGTGAGGTCATCAGCTGTGTTGGGCTGGTGAGATTGAAATGGAGGGACTAAATCCAGAAAACATTTGACTCAGTAGGACAAAGATAATTAGATAAGCTGCCAATTGAAAAATAATGCTAATCATATACAGAGGGGGGTTACTGGTAATCTATTGTTAGCTTTACGATGCAAGAGTAGATTATTCAAAGTGAAAATGAAATCTATTTTGCAACATAAAATCTCATTTGCAAGCAAATAATTCATCTATGAATGCCAGGTGATTTTGCTTCTCTCAGACAAAACGCTTCATAATCAATTAGCAAACATTTCGTTCATAGCTCAATATTTTCTAGTTCATGGGTTTTGGTTCGATAAACAACAGATTTTACTTGAAAACAAAGAAAACTCAATTAATTAAGTTAACACTGGTGTTAACACTGGAAAACATATGCAGTAATAGTTGACCACTGCCGCTGCCTTAATCAAAGTGATCTTCAAATTATTTTCATAATCATCCATCTATTATCAAATATTTAGAACTTTTGAAACGAAAGAGAAGATGTTCCAGACGAGCGCCGTCAGCCAAAATGCTAATGAAACACAATTAATGATCATAGATCTTTTGGTTGAAAAATTGAAGCTTCGGTCTGCTGCACTGTTGTGGAGATAATTATTGAACTGCTGACATATTACCAACTATGTACAAAACTGAATCCAGTATCTAACCAATCAAAGTGCATGCAAAATGCAAAATGTACAATGGTATTCAGTTACCTTGAGTTTATTAACAACATTTTGTTTTTCACCTAGAAATTGATAGAAACAACGGTTAAGAGGCCGAAATAAAAGTTTCTATGGACTTTTGTAAGTACTGCTTCTTAAAGCTAAACTGTCATGTGGTCCATGATGATACAGTCACATGAACGTACTAGGTGATGTTGCTTCTCTCAGCAGCCCGCAACGAGCTAGCCAATCAGCGAAAGTTTTGTTCGTTTTCACGGACTTTTGTAAGTACTGCTTCTTGAAGCTAAACTGTCATGTGGTCAATGAGGATACAGTCACGTGAACATACCAGGTGATTTTGCTTTTCTCGGCCYGAACGAGTTAGCCAATCATCGAACATTTTGTTCTTAACTCAATATTTCCTAGTTCCAAGTTTTTAGCTTGACAAACAACAACTTTTACCCGAAAATATAGAAAATAATAGGGAGATTTACCAAGTATCTTTGAGAAATAGGATTTTTCGTTGCAGTTTTGGCGGGATAATATTTCGTTTTGATAAGAGATTATAGAAAATACCGTAAATTTTYGGTGTGACAAACAATGCATTGCGCGCCTATTTAGATTCAAAATAATCTATACTGTTTTCAATATCATATCAGAAAAACACTAAGAATTCAATTCTCGACTTTCACTTCCCATAATACTTTGCGTCTTTGGGGGGTAACCAGAGGGTAAAAACCCACTTATTTTGCTGAAGGCTGATCAGACAATGTTGACAATACCTTGTTTGGTATCCAAAAATAAAAGAAGAAGTAAAAAACAGAAAAAGATAGAAGCTTGAAGACGTTCAAGGTATATTTTAAACATTTTTTCGTAAGTCGGTACATTTTCTGTAAGACCAAAACTCTTCATGATCTGTACACGCAAAAATTATTTGGAATAAACTGATAATAGTATTGTACAGATAAAAGCAGGTGAAACCTTTCAATTTGGGACATGCAGTTTTTTGATTGGTTACCCCCCAAAGACGCAAGGCATTATGGGGATGTGAAAGTAGAGAATGTATAAAATATATATGTGTTTCAAGTTTCAGATAACCTAAGTAAACGCCTTGTTAGCCGGCTAAAGGTAACTTATGCATGTTAAATTGAAAACAGTTTAGGGGCGAGGTCAAAACAATGGTCCAAAATAGGGACCCGATTTTTTGAATTAAGGTGGTGGGTACCGGTACATACCCCTCCCCCCTCAGAGATCTGTTCAAATTCTCGATACTCGGGGTGTGTAATGGTAATTTCTATACACAAATATGTTTTTTCGCATACATGCAGACAGACAGTCTATTCATTTCTGTGATTTGGTTTTTAGTTTTGGAGATATTTGGGGACGAAATCTAAGATTTTACTTCTAGAGGTGGTGCGTGAAGGTTTTTTCGGGCCATTTTTTCCTAATTTTTTCTATTGTTTTAAGCAATCCCTCTAAARTAAGGCGCGCATTGAGTTGAAATACATGCACAGAGAAATCGAAATAGACCTTATTTGTACACTTTTTTTTTTAAGCGACAAGAAACTYGAAGTGTTCATTATTTTGAGTGTCCTCACTGTAAAACTCTTTGAATATTTTGTAAATAAATGTTTTTGAACAGTTCAACTGATACGAGCGTAGCAAGAAGCGAGAGTATTCTACACAATTTCCCGGTGCGGGATTCCTGTGCGCTAGATCCCTGACAATTTGAGTGCCTGATTGTAGGCAGTTTGTATGCTCAGCGGAGATCACCCAATTTTTGCATTTTCTGATACACGAAAAGAAACGAGGAAACCCAAACTATTTTCAAGGCTGCCACAGGCAAGCCCATTAAAAGTCAGTTTTTAAAATGCAATCTTATCTTCCCAACGAGATTTTCACGTGATCAGGGGCACAGGACCACAATTGCTTTATAAAAAGATCACATACAATACAGAATTAACATAGTATGTGGTCTTCTTACCCAAACTATAGGCACTGATAGTAACTGTACCAAATAAGTTAAATAGGCGAATTTATTTTAACATAATTGAAATTACTATAAATCAACAATTATAGCCTTCATACATTTATTCAGGTAAAATGTCTATTCGCCCCATGTAAGGGAATCCGGAATCCGGAATCCACGAAATTTTAGGCTTTGGAATCCGGAATCCAGCACTCTGGAATCCGGAATTCAGGCCTTGGAATCCGGCGCGCTTTAACAATAATTAAATTGAAATTCAGATCAGGAAATTGTCGTTTAATATTAGAGGTTATATGACAAATGAATTCAAAAGGGAGGAGTGGGCTATTTGCAATACGTTATGGTGTCTGAAACTTCATGTATGCGCTTTTGTCAATTGTTTTTTATCACGCTAGTTTTATATACCAAGGACACCTCCCTAGTTATACTGGCAAGTATATCAAATATAATTTTCAGAGAAAGTATCTGAAAATTAACGTTATGGAATCCGGAATTCGCAATACAAAAGTTTCGGAATCCGGAATCCAGACCCTTGGAATCCGTAATCCAGATTCTCGGAATCCGCAATCCAGACCCTTGGAATCCGTAATCCAGAGTCTCGGAATTCGGAATCCAGACCCTTGGAATCCGTAATCCAGATTCTCGGAATCCGCAATCCAGACCCTTGGAATCCGTAATCCAGATTCTCGGAATCCGGAATCCAGCGCTTGGAATCCGGAATCCACCATAAGTCCGGATTCCCTTACATACGATTCTATGTATATTCTAATACTTGATACCAAATAAAAACGTTTGTCTGTCTGTCTGATAATGAATTAACACGAAGTTAAGGAAATGATTTGAAATTCTAATATGGCGTAAGAAGGCTAGGCAGAAGACATGCAATCTTTGCAGTTGTTTTAGATGTCAATCTTAAAAGTTGTTATCAGTTTTTCTCGATATCAAATTTTGTTTCCTTTACTGAGCAAACTCCTTGACCAGGTTAATGGAATGACGTCTTCAGTCTGCTTATTTCTTTAATGTTTCGTCGCTAACTCCAGCGTCAAAATTAATATTCCTCTATCGAAATATCTTATCAGAAACAGCTGAAGTATATTATTTTAAAGAGTTAACTTCGTCATTGACTAATCTGAGATAAAAGAACAAGGTTTTTTTCTTTCCTTTATCGATGTTTTCCACCGATATAGTGATAG